GGAGACCAAGGTCAACCTTGGCCTTGTATGCGCCATAAGGTTCCAGCTCGTGGGGAGCAATGCCGACCTCGGCAGCAATGCGTGTGATTTCCTTAGGGGTTTGTGCTCGTGACACAGCGATATCCGAAGGAACGGGATCCTCCAGTTTCAGGGGTAGGGGGATGGTCTTTCGAAGCTTCTGAGATTCGAAATACCACGTTGTAGCATCAACGACATTCTGCATCAACATAGCAACAGTCATGGGCCCAACTCCACCAGGAACGGGGGTGATGGCGGACGCAACTTCGACTGCGGCAGCGTAGTCGACATCACCAACAAGTCTTTGGCCAGACTTCTTGGTGGCATCGGGCAAAAAGTTGGTTCCGACGTCGATCACAACGGCACCAGGCTTGATCCAGCTGCCCTGGACGAACAGAGGCTGCCCAATAGCAGCAACAACTACATCTGCATTCTTGACGTACTCTTCGATGTTTTGCGTTTTGGAGTGCAGAACGGTGACAGTAGCGTCAGCGTTTCGCAATAGGTAGCTCACGGGGCTACCGACAATGTCGCTTCTCCCAAGAACAACTGCGTTCTTTCCCTTCAGATCAATTCCCGATTCCTTGAGAAGGATCATGACACCCTTGGGTGTGCAGGGCACGAAAAGAGGTTTGCCACCCCTCTTGGCCAGCTCTCCAATGTTCTTGGTGCCAAAACCATCAACATCCTTCTCATCTGCCACAAAAGATGTGACAGTATACTCAGAGATGTGCTTAGGGAGAGGGAGCTGGACTAGGATACCGTGAACGGCAGGATCATGGTTGAATTGACGGATATGATCGAGAAGCTCCGCCTCCGTGATAGACTCAGGGTAATGCAGCAGTTGGCTGTCGATACCAGCCTTTTTGATGAGTCAGTAAACGCACGCGGCTAAAATTTCATTTTGACTCACCTCTGCTGCAGCCTTGAGCTTCATGCGAACATAGGTAGCTATATCGCGGGTTAGTGGTGAGATGATCTCATGATGGCGGGGCAGGATTATGACGAACAGGAGTCTGAACGATCACCCACTGTGAGAGAATTGAGTCAGCGTTGAGCAAGTAGAGTATTACGAGCAACTCGGTCATACCTTGGATGATCTTGAGGCATGGCTTAAACCTAGGGTTGAGCTTCTGTTTCTCAGTAACCTCGGCGCAGAGCTTCTCTCGGATCGACTTGGCAATGGCATTGCCATCGAGCTTTGCAGCAACCATTGTAGTCGAGGAAAAGAGTCTTTTCTGATGTAAGAATGGGTTAATGAAAGACAAAGACTTAGACTCGACAACAGAGGTTGAAGCAAAGTTATTTCGTCGTTTGTTGACTGAGAGGCAGTCTCTGTATAAGAAGTGGGCTGTCGGGTTGTGAGGAGGGGCAGCCCGAATAGCGGCGTCCACGAAAGGCACGGTCGACACGGGAGAAACCACCGAACACGTGTGAATGGGAGTTTGCCTGTGCGACTTTGTGCGTAAATACGCCTGTGGGTGGGTGAGAATCTGACTTTGCTGGGACCCGCCTAATTCTACTGCGGGTTCGGCTTGGTGCGTATACAATCGGCAGCTCAGCCGTTGATGTCCAAGGCTTATTCTCGTTGCATATCGTGATATCGGTATCGATAACGTTGAAGATAGAGACCGCAAATGCCGTTGCTGTCTCGGGATCACTCGGGAACTATTCGATTCAAGCCACCCGGCGCAACGGAGGAACGCGCCGTACATGATCAACTGCAATATGATTATATCCCTAGTTGTATGTAGATGAGTATGGTATTAGACCCAATGCCGAACAATCTCCTGATGTCCGACGGATCAATGGCGAGAGCATACACATGTAGATCTATGCAATGCAATGCAAACCTTTCCGTGAGGAAATGCTCTAAGCCAGAGTTGTAGAAAAAAGAGGAAGCGAGCCAGCAAGGTTGTTGGGTGATGATGACGGCAATAACACAATATTGTACAGCAACGTAGTCTCTCAATCGATAGACTTAGTCTTTCAAAGAATATTGAGCCGGTTGAGAACCTCTTTGCAACTCGTCCATATTCGAACACTTGCAATCAGTCCATATAGTTGGTCTCGCGTGACTGACTTTGCATTACCGCAGAATCTGATTTCAAGTACCTGCCTTGAAGAAGGGACATCAATCTGTCTCTCAACGAACCGGACATTCAAGGCCAACGGGATCGAATAGGTCTGGTGGTGATGCCTCCAACAGGTAGAGTGGCCTTATACTGAGATTGACAAAGGCCAGAGTTCTAGAATCTTACCTGTATAGTAGTTAGTCACACCCGACAGATCTTACCTTCACGGTGTTAAACCTGAGCTGTCGCTGCTTGACTCTGAGCAGAGGTGACCCAAGTGCACTGCCAGAAATACAGTGCTAATAAAGGTTTATTACCCATATATGCACACTTATTACTACTATTCTTCTTTTAAGCTATATCACTTAACTAGTGAATAAGATTTGAATATTTATATATATAAATATATTACCTAAAGATTAGTAGTATAAGTATAATTCTTATCTTTTTTCAACTAATTAGTTTTATATTCATATCAATTGAAATAATTAGCAACTTAATGTGTAGCACTGTGTCGTGATTTGCTGCCCGCCCGTATCCTTTTGGGCCACTATGGTTCAGTCAAGTATACGCCACACAACCTCCACAAACTCCAATCAACCGATATCGCTGAGAGCCTCAGAGAGACAATTTCTTTGGATTTTGACAGGTTATCAAAAGCAGCAGGGCTCCTTGAACGATTAGACTCGTGGCCATTGCAGCCGAGCTAGAGTCTATTTGGCTACAGCATAAGAAATATTAATGACCCGACCTGGCCAGAGCACGCCTGGGCTTCGTTCCAGACTACCAAAGTAGTTGATGCCTCAGGAGATTCGCCGAGAAGTGAGATGAGACTAGACGGGAGCCATAACATGAATCAAAGAATTACTCAGACTATGACTCTTGAATCCTTTAGTGACTCTTCTCAGACTCATATCAATAATAGGCATCACAATGTGCCAAACATGATTAAACTCAACTTTAACACCTCTCTCCCTACAAATCAGGCATCAGCCATGTGCCCCTCACAGCTCAGCTAAGGCGGGGGAAGTGATTTCGATTTTTGCCCCACCAAAACGCACAACCGCCAAAAATTCCATCGCGAAAGCCCTCGCCATATAACAACCCGCTCCGAATCTGCCTCCGCCATCAACCCCTCCTAGTGCCCCCCAGACATCGACAACATGAGGCCCATTCTTCTTGCCGGGCACGAGCGTGCGCTCACCCAGATCAGGTATGTCTGAGTCGTGTTCTGTCTCTATACATCTGTCTGTATTATAGCCATGAGGAAGAGGAGGGAGAATATTGTACCTCTATGAAGCCTGGGAACAACTTCACCGGTACCCTCGACTAACCTCGTTCAACAGATTCAACAAAGATGGCGACCTCATCTTCTCCGTCGCAAAGGATCAGCAAATCTGCGCCTGGTTCTCCCACAACGGCGAGCGACTTGGAACCTACCACGGCCACGTCGGTGCCATCTGGACAGTCGATGTTAACCCCACCTCAACCATGATCGCCTCCGGTTCTGCCGACAACACCATCCGTCTCTGGGAAGTCAAGACTGGCCGTCTCATCAAGACCTGGGAGTTCCCCACCGCCGTCAAGCGAGTCGAGTTCAACGAAGATGCCACCAAGTTGCTGGGAGTTACCGAGAAGCGAATGGGTTACCTCTCCAACATCGTCGTCATCGACATCAACCCCGATCTCAACGCTGAGCAGACCGACGAGAAGGCTCTCACTATTGTTTGCGACGAGAGCAAGGCCACCGTTGCGGGATGGAGTGCTCTCAGCAAGTACATCATCGCTGGCCATGAGGATGGTAGCGTAAGCCGATACGATGCCAAGACCGGTGATCTCCTCGACAACGTGCCCGTCCATGAACTCAACCAGCCCATTGTCGATCTTCAGTGGTCTCCCGACCGTACCTACTTTATCACCGCATGCAAGGACAAGACCGCCAAGGTATGTCAGATCAGACTATCCCCTATGACAGATACTAATCTTCTAAGCTCATCTCTGCCCGCGATCTTGAGGTCCTCAAGACCTATACAGCCGACACACCCCTCAACAGTGCCACTATCACCCCCAAGAAGGAATTCGTCATCCTCGGTGGTGGTCAGGCCGCTATGGATGTTACCCGAACTTCTGCCCGTCAGGGTAAGTTCGAGGCTCGCTTCTATCACAAGATCTTCGAGGACGAGATTGGTCGTGTGCGAGGTCACTTCGGTCCTCTGAACACTGTCGCTGCCGACCCTACAGGCAAGAGCTACGCCAGCGGCGGAGAGGACGGATACGTGCGAGTTCACCACTTCGACAAGGGCTACTTCGACTTCAACTACGAGGTTGAGAGGGAACGGATCAACCGAATGCAGTAGATGCGTTCTTTTCCTGTGTGCTTGCATAGTACGGCGTTTGGGGGACAAACAAATAAATGTTTTTGTTCAAATGGGGCAAAAAATAAACGGGAGCTGGACGTGATGGAAAAAAAGAATTGGGTGTGTAAGGGGAGATAAGAGGTTGACAAATGGGCTTGTAATTCTTACCATCTCTCCAGGATTTAAGGAAAGATCGAAATGCACGATTGATCACGTTTCTACGACTTTGGATATCCTTATGACCATGCAGTCACGAACATCATAGTCGCTACTTCAGAGCGCGTCGAGTTGAAGATATCAAGCAGACAATCAGTCAGATGGTTCTTCTGCTCAAGTAACTTTCTTCATTGTACTATCAGCCATTCTCACGCCTGTATTCCCACCTGTCGAGGCATCGTGTGATGCATTTTCTGGCCCCTGGTACAAACTGCCATGCGAGATTAGACAAATACGTACACATTGGCTTCTCATATAAGTCCACAAAGCAACCAAACGCCCAAAAGTCTATCCCTTTGCCCACCCAGCGTACTAAAGGCAATTCCGTATTCCCTCACTTCTTTTTACCCTTCTTGCCCTTGGCAGAACCTCCTGCGGATACGGTGGAGGCGACACTAGATGCTCTTGATGGAGTGGCGGAGCTGTTCTTGCTAGACTTGACCGACTTGACATTATCAAGTGCCTTGTTCTGCAAAACATGTTAGTCATAGACAATGCACAAGATTAGTTATTGACTCACCTTGACGCCGTTTTTGGCCTTCTTCTTTGCGGGCGCCATACCAAGAATGCTATCTTCGTCATTCTCATCATCAGGCTCTCGCTTGGATTTTCCATTCACTCCGTTTGAGCCACGAGCAGGGACGTCTTCGAACTCTTTAACAATAGTAGTGATCAAAGTAGTGCATCGACGAGACAGCTCAATTGGTGTTCGACTGAGAAAGAACCAGTCAAATCGGAACAGAGGTGATTCTCTAATGTCGTCTCGCATCTTTTCGTAAAGACCTTCCGAATCAATGCCGTATCGATCAAGCAGAACCAAAAGGAATCGGTCCTCTTCTTCAGTGTAAACCTTCTTGTTTGTAGTCGACACAGAATAGTTGATCTTGAGCTGCTGCAGAGGGACTCGATACTGTTGCATCTTCTTTCTGAGAAGCTTTTGATGGTGGCCAATACGGCGAGTCCGCTCCTCGCCATCTTCGATAGTCTTGATGTATTTGGGGTAGTCGGCGATCTCAGTATAGCGTTGCCAAAAGACCTTTGCATAAGCCTTGATTTCTGGGGCTGACTTGCTGTCAATCTCGTTGGAGATGCCTTCGTAGTCAGTTCGTCCGTATTTGCCTGATCCATTGACAAATTGTTGAAAGTCCCGTTTGTTCCAGTCTCCAAAACCTTGTAGCGACAACTTCTCTTTTTCTTCCCTCTCTTCCTCAGTCAAAGGCGTGGCATTGTCGATCTCCTGCTGGTCAAGGGCTCTTTCGGCCTCTCGCTCTTCAAGATTTTCTTCGTCACCGTCAGGTAGAGGGACCTTATACCCAATTTCCTTCCGATAGTAAGCAGTCTCCCTATCTTGGAGATCTCGCAGGCGTGGGGGGTAAAATTGGTAGTCATGAACAGGAACTTGCTTTGGTGCTCGGGGTGCCTTTGGCTTAGCATCGGCCTTGGGGTTGGGATACATAGTTTGTCGGAAGTACTTATCCATTGAGTATGACTGTTCCTTTCGCTCTCGCTTGGCCGGGTTGATCCAGGTCATGTTGATGTTCTTCTTTGTGTTGGCAAAGTTCTCCCCATTCCATTCGTAAGCAGACTCCGAGGTGAACTTTTGCAGATCGTCGATTCCCAGCTTCTCATACTTTGCGTTCAGCTCCTTTGTTCGGTTTTCGCCTTTTGCAAGGATCTCGTCGATATCGTCATCACCGACTTCGCCGTCCTTGGAGGCCATATTGCCGGTAGGTCCCTTGGACTGAAAGACCTTCTCAGCACCGTGCTGGATCATGGAAAGAAGCTCATCCTTGTTGGCTGCAGCTTTAGCGGCTTGTTGGGCACGGCCTTGTTGGATAACCAGTTGGTCTAATCGTAGCTTCTGGGCAGCCCTCTCCAAAACCTTTTCTTCGATGGCGTTGTCTGTGACAAATCTGTATACAACAACCTGCTTAGTCTGACCAATACGATGTGCTCGATCCATGGCCTGAAGATCAGCTTGAGGATTCCAATCACTGTCATAGAGAATAACAATGTCGGCAGTTGTCAAGTTAATGCCCAGACCACCGGCACGCGTTGTAAGGAGGAAGACAAATTTCTCCGAGCCAGGTTTGTTGTATTCGTCAATGGCAGCAATTCGATCTTCATGTGCTGTACCACCATCGATTCGACAATATTTGTACTCTCGGAAGACACAGTAGTCTTCGAGAATATCCAATAATCGGCTCATTTGAGAGAAGATGAGAACGCGGCTTCCCTGCTTCTGGAGCCGCTTGAGGAGCTTGTCAAGGACTGCCATCTTGCCAGCGTTGTAAATCAAATGCTCATCGGTTGTGTAAGGGGGTCCTGGCTCGGCGCCTTCGAACAGATAGGGGTGGTTACAGCATTTTCGAAGCTGCATCACGATATTGAGTAGTCGTGTTTTTGACTCTCGTTTGCCACCGGCGCCGTTAACAGCATCAATGTCTTTCTCCAGAATCTTCTGGTACCATTTAATCTGCATCTCAGACATGCCAAGATAAACATTGACCTCTTTCTTGGGTAACAGACTCTTCTCCACGTCGCTCTTCACGCGGCGCAGTAAGAAGGGGCGGAGGACTTTGTGTAGTTGTTGTACGACCGTGTCTTGATCACGGTCTTGACCAGAGAACCACTGATCGAATGCTTCAGAGTCGCCGAAAACATCGGGAAGCAAGAAATTCAGAAGGGCCCAGAGTTCGTGTAGGTTGTTTTGTAAAGGTGTGCCCGTGATAAGTAATCGGTTTCTGGAGGAGAACAATCGGATAACCTGTGACAGCGATGATTCTTCGTTCTTGATACGATGCGCCTGGATAATTGTTAGCTGATGAAACTCTCGATTGTTCCAAAATTACATACTTCGTCGATGATTATGTATTCCCAAGCAAATTTCTTCAAATGCGCCTTCTCTCGAAGCACCATTTCGTAGCTGGTAATGCAAACATCAAACTTTTCGTCAACAAGCCGATCGTTGATAAGGGTCTGTCGTTCATCTTTGGCACCCTGAAGCACCAAAACATCGACCTCGGGTGTCCATTTGGCAAACTCTCGCTTCCAGTTATCTAGTGTGGACTTTGGCACAATGACCAAGTGTGGTCCAGTAATGTCAAGTATGTGTCGCAGGTAGCCAAGAAATGAAATAGTTTGCAGCGTTTTTCCAAGACCCATTTCATCGGCAAGAATACCCGAAATACCATTCTCGTGCAGGGAAATCAGCCAATTGAGGCCGGCAACCTGGTAGTCTCGCATGGTGCCATGGATGAACGGAGGCGATTCCCGGAAGACCGTCTCAGCGGAGCCGCCGTGCTTCTCATCTTTCAAGAGTTCGGCGTCTTCTTCAGCTTCGGTACGTCGACGTCGCTCGCTCGTGGCGCCCCCTTGCCTTCCGGCACCCTTCTTGCCCCGCGCAGATTCAGCATTCTGTCGATCGATTTCGGTCATGATATCGCGAATCTTGGGGTCGGGGTTTGTTTCAATGAAATGGCGGAAGAGATCGGTCAGGCCGAGGAGGTATCGAAATCGACGAATAGTGTCATCTTCCTAGAGGTTCGATTAGATCGTTTCGCATCATGCCCTCCTCTTGGAGTGCGACATACCTTGGATTCGCCCAACCGATCGTGCTTCTTTCCGAAAATGCTACGACGAAGTTGGTTAACTTCTGTGCGGCGCCTACGGCCATCCCCAGTAGGCTCTCCGGCGACGCTGCTAGCAGTAGTGCTAGGGTTCTCGGTATCAGTGTAGTCGGGAGTCTCGTCAACTTCCTTAACAACCCGTCAGCACAAGTTCTCACCCACAAACGAACAAAATTTTGTGAATATGGGAACTCACCATCTCTTCTTCTTGCCGATGCTCCTGCGCGTCAGACATAGACGCGTCAGTATCGACAGCTTTGGCTCGAGAGCGAGGTGCCATTGCGAGTCGAGTTCAGGATAAACCTCTTTACGCGACTGGCGTCCAGAAGACGCGTTTCGATAGCTTGCAATGTGAACCACAAGTCAATTCAAGTAGTCTGTTGGCTGTTATCGCGTATTTTGAGTATATTTTGAGGGGTATGTGGTGTATTTAACACAGTCACGTCGCTTGAAAGATTGGAAAAGAAAGTGTGAATGCTGTTGAGAAGGTGTTGGCTGGTAGAATCTAAACGGTCACCTCGAAGGGGGCCAATCTGGGCTAGCGGCGTGCATAGACCCTTGTAAATAGCATTGGGCCCCACGATGCTGCAAGGGAAGAAAGGATATTCCGATGCTTTTAACGACGTCACTTTGTCTTACTGATCTTGTGTGAAGAAGTCGCTGTAAATCTGAAAACACACAGGTTAATTATTCTAAGTTGATCCTATCTCATATACTCGTACAAGTACAGGATTGAAAGAGATTCTGGTGAGTTGCTAGAAAGCGATTATAGTTGTATCAAGTCACGTGGCTGGAGTTCCCCCCACATCTACAGGTACCGACCCCTCGGTTAGTGCCGTCCATCAGGCTCTGCCCATGCTCCATTGGAGTGGATGACCTGGGCAAACGCTTCGTGACCCCAACCTTTACCTTGCCCAACTGTCTTTGAGATCATAGCTCTTCAGGAGCAACATACCCAGCCTGTCTGACTCTGGTGTACCGCGAATACATAGCATTTTCTCTCCGATCTAGGAGCCTCTTCTGACACCAAAACTACTTCTCTCTGACTATCAAGTGAGGCGATTTCCCCCTTGACGTTTTCAAACATATCTGACTCTTCATTTCCAGTTTCCCGCATCTCTTCGTCACTTAATCACGATGGAGCCTATGAGGGGCGTCTCTGGTAGCATGGGCAAGCAGCCTGCTCAACAAGAAAGCCCTGAACAACTCCTCGATGTCTTCAAGGCAGCCGCCCTGTCGGTGACCAAGCTCTACAAGATCTCGGCTGCGGGACAGTCAAAGGCACGTGCCGATGGATATCAGGATTGCCTCGATGACCTCTTACAATTCTTGGATAAAGAGGGCATGGGTCTGGGTGATGGAGAAGGGTGGAAGATCCGGAAATGGGCCACAGAAAGACTCGATGGGCGTGAAAGCAGCTCTCTGAACACGGAGAGTGAGGATGAGGTCGACAAAGCTGAAACAGCCTCGTCACCTGAACTCACTCGAACGGCTATCCCTCCTCATCCGGCGAACCAAGCGCGAACCGACTCCGCACCACCAAGTATTCCTCCTGTTGTCGAGCAGCCTACGCCGATAGTGGTCCCTTCTCAAGACAACTTCACCTTCCAGTCATCACACCCGTACCCGAATATCGCTACTCTGGACCTGTCTGACTCAAGACCTCACGATGATGTGCCTGCCCCCACACGACCAACGAAAACTAGGCTTGCGGGTGGTCCGAGTCGGTCTTGCCCAAGGGGTCCGGGACATTTGGTACAGCGGGCTGGTAGCAAGCGCAAGTTGAACTTTGAGGAAATATTCGATCTCGGCAGTCTAGGCGGAAAGGATCCTTTCGAAAAGGGAGGGAAGCGTGGCCGACATGCTTGATTATCCAACGAGATCATCACCTTTCCTTTATCTCTACACACAACATGAAGCATATTTATCTCGGAGCACTGGGTACTAGATGGATGGGATGGAACGAGGCATGTTTACAGACGGACGCATTGACTAGCGAAGAGCATGGGCGGCGTTTGGAGGACGTAACGATTGCATTTGGGGGTGTCTGGTTTTCATTTTGTGTCTGGCGATTGCCACATTTTTCATAACACGATAAATTTGATGATGATGATTCTCTAACTACTCCTTCTGAACCAACGAAACTTCTTGTATGGCTGTATGTGACTTGTCATTCTATCATGGCATGGGAAAGCCCTATAACTTCCTGGAGTCGATGATGGAGAAACAGCTAGATTTTCGTACCTATTACTAACCTAATCACATGTAGAATCCTAAGGTATTGTGGTCTTTCTTGCCGGGTTATCTTCGGTCCGAAACTTACCAAAGGAACACCAGAGCTTGGTTTTGGACTGACTTGCAGGAACTTTCATGCAGCCCGAGACTCGGAGCAGGCGCTAAATGAAAGGTACCTACAGTTGGTAGCTGCGTACCCCGGCCTTGACCTCATTAATCGTGCATTTTTGTCGTTCGCGAACTTTTGAACCTCTTCGCGCTTTTCTTTTTTATACCTTTTTTGTTACTTCTCTTCTTCCACTTGCATCGCGAAAGATTTGTTCCACAAAGGTAAATTCTTCTTCTTCTTCTTCTTCTTCTTCTTCTTCTTCTTCTTCTTCTTCTTCTTCTTCTTCCTCCTGACATCCATCGTTGCACTATTCTGCCCCTTCATACAATGATGTCAAGACTGTTTTGAACGATTGCGCATTGTTCATTCTCTTCTCTCAGCAGCCACCCAACCTTTTACTAACACTGATTCACGTAGGAGTATCGCGCGCGAAAGAGACTACTAGCTTTCCTTCAAACTAGTCAACATGTCGGATTCTGGCAAGCAAGACGAGAAGCCTACGGGCGAGCACGAGATCGATCATGACCGCGAGCACGACAATGAACATGAGCAAGGAACTGAGATGTCAGGGGCTGAGGAGGTGTGTTAGGCGCGCAAAGAGGTGGATTTAAGAAGGAAACTGACGCCACACCCTTAGGAAGAAATCACTGCCATGAAGCGCCGCGTGGCAGAGATGGAAGAGGAGGCCAAGAAGCTTCGCGAGATGCAAGCAACTCTGGAGCAGCAATCTGCGGACCTTGCGGATGACAAGGAATCCATCGATGCACGCAGTATCTTTGTTGGCAACGTCGATTATTCAGCCTCGCCTGAAGATATCCAGAGTCACTTCCAGAGCTGCGGCTCCATCAACCGAGTGACCATTCTTCTTGACAAGTTCACAGGTCAACCGAAGGGGTATGTTGGCACGCGGGAGTTTTTTGAGCATTGCTAACATATCGCTCTGTAGCTACGCATACGTCGAGTTCACCGAGCCGAGCTTGGTCGCCCAGGCTCTTGTCCTCAACGAGAGTGTCTTCAAGGGCCGCAACATCAAGGTGACCCCTAAGCGCACCAATGTCCCTGGTATGAGTCGTGGACGTGGTCGCGGTGGGTTCCGCGGTGGCCGAGGCTTTCATGGTCGAGGCAGCTTCCCTCGCGGTGGTGGCTATCGCGGTGGCTACCGTGGTCGCGGACGAGGTTTCGCCCCCTACTAGGAGCAGGGAGGCACTTTGCCCTTGGGACATGGTCGACGATCTGAGCAACCTAGGCCTTTCGAGATCGAAGTTGAGGAATCTCACGGGCTTGAAAACAACCCCTACGCGCATGGATATGTTGGCCTGTGATGGAACAGTTTCCATCCATTTTTTTCTTTGAATTTAGGGTTATGGTAATAAGGAGAAGGGTGCTTTACTAGCAGAGAAGGAACAGTGTAATACTATCGATTATCTGGGAACAGGAAAACACACAGATAGCCAAGAACACTGAGGGAAGGGATAGGAGTTCCGGTATTGACGTTTCTTTCGTCTTAGCAAAATCACAGTAATCCATCAACGTCTGTTCCTCTCTTTAACTCAGTGCGAACTTCCTGAAATGTTTCGGAGCGAGAACGCAATCTAATCAGCTATTTTAGGTATAACTGAGCTAGGGTGCCGATTCTACAAGTAGCTTCGATTATGTTGGTTCGTAGGAGGCTTAGAGTAGTGACATGTTGCCACGCGTTCCTCTTAGAGCTTCATATGCGTGTGAGGCCGCCCGCATGGTACCACCCCACATCGGTTCGTGTCAAGGTTTGGGTATTTGGCGGGAATGATATATGATTGCAATGAGACAAATCTAGTGTCAGGGTGCATGATATGGAAAGGAAGATCTGACATCTCACTGAAGATCCCAAGCTAAATAAGCTAATACGTTGGGCAATCCACGACATCACACCGGTTACCCTACCCTAGAGCTCGACCTTTATGCTCTCTTGACTTGTAGTCACACTATCGTGTAGTGCAACAGGCGTTTTATTTAATATGTATGTACCTAGTTAAATCTGTTTTTAATAAGGCTTAGGTCTGATATTCTTGCTCAGCCACCTAATCTGGTATTGTAACCCCATACTAGCATGGCTAGGTAGGACATGAGTCGTCATTCTCGACGACTCCAACTTATAGATGCTGTTCAGGATATGTGTTGTCAACGCAATCAACAAGGGTGTCATTGACGCTTTGCCAGTGGCTCAGCAGTTGCCTAGCCACAGAGGTGCAAATACTGTAAACACCTGGATCAAGTACATAGTAATGTAACTAATAATAAGTTACGGCTGAATGGTAAGATTGGGCGGATCTAGAAAGGAGAAATTTACAAAGGCACATCTTGAATCCTATGGCACATGCGTGTATGGGGCATGTTTCAAATTGTGTCCTGATAAATGCAGACTTTTGATTTCCATGTTTCCCGTCTTGAAGCACAAGCATCAAACTCAGCGACGTAGCTGCAAGGCATCCCAACCCTGCTTAAGCGCCCGATGCCTGACGAAAGCTGTGCCGGTAAGCCGTACGCCGCAATTAGGCTTAGAACATCCATTCACAAACCCCTACAGGTGACTGAGATTATGATTCCATAGCGGCACTGTCGCTTTGTTTACTGCCGAGGTTGTACGAAATACGTCGTAAAGCGCAGCCGTGGATTCCGCAGCCCAGGAAGGCCGATGTCATAAGCATTATTTGACAATTTCTCAGCCAAAGTGGCAACAAAATTCCGGAGCTCTTGAACACCTTTGAAATGATTGCTCAGCCTAGCAAAGTGACTAGAACGTGCGAGAGATCAATATTTAGGCAATACCGGTTAGATACCTTCGAACAAAGTACACATGTCGATTCTGGAACGGTCATCTCTGATCGCGGGTTTCATAGGAAAGGTTCAAAGGAGCGGAGGCAAAAGAACCTCTCTTGGTTACTTTAAGCCACTAACACAAGTAATAATGTGCCGTCTAGCTGTAGGCCTCCACTGCAGCCCAATAAAAGGCCCGGATACACAATACAGGGTTGATTAAAGAACACGGGCTAGCCAAGGATGAAAGAAAACACGGGGACTTGATTCTAAGAGACAAGAGTATATCAGTAAGCTTAGTAAAAGCGTATGAGGACTTGTGATGGATTAATTTTAGCACCCTATCTTGAGGACTGAGGCTTTCTTGCTCCCTGGCTGATGGAGTACGTCCCATTGGGCGGGTTCCTCCAATCTTGGTAATATGGGCACTTGGGGAGCTGCCTTTTGTTGCGTTGCTTGGTGGAGTGTCTAATAAAATGCTACTGGGTAGATTTAAGTATGGCCGTAGTATTCTACATTTGCATGGACTTTGAGTAGCACGATTACCGCACACAGCAGCTGTATAAACAAGTTGGCAGGACTATTAACGAAGGTATCAGGAGAGTACCCCCACCGACTGCACCCCAGCCCATGAAACCGTACTCGAGTTACAAGGCTCCAAAGTTACTCAGGCCAGGTCGGGACGATTGATTATCCTTCTAGCACCATCAACGCTAACCACGAGACAGAGAGTATTGAGACTGAACCCACACAAAAGAGTTCGTAGCGATCAGTCAATTTCTCTGTCACCGTTTATCGTTACTAATTCACGAATATTACCAACTCCATTACAGCAACGTGGTTAATCTTGCAGTGCTTCTTTCAACAGCCTCAGGATCACTACTCCTACCCTGGATCTTCCCGTTCCGGCCGCTGTCGTTCTCGCTCTGGAAGCGGGGAGTCCGTGTCTTGGCCTTAGCCTCTCAGTCTTGGGTTTTTGGGCCGCCCGTGCACAGCCTCAACCTCCCCCCATTGCCCCAAACCAAGCGTCGTCAACTTTCTTCAGTGAACCCGTCAACCTCCACTGATCACGTTCCGCGAACGCCTTCCACGACAAGGCTTCATTGCATTTGTCTGGATCTGAACCTATTCCTACCTTTTCACCTCGGAAATATCGATTATTATCATTGTCGTCGCTGTGACTTAGTCCCTCGCTGCGCTGCGCAAGAGGTGACACCATGACCAGTCGCACCGATTCTAAGTAAGTCCATTCCCCCCAGCCTTTCGTCCATCGCATCGCGTCCAGCTTCACCTTCAATCTGACCATTACCCATCTCCCTCTTCACTGCTACTATGGTCAACATACTAATGCTCCTTGTAGCAGGCCCAACCTTCGGGTTACCAGTGAGTTACAGCTAATCAATCTGCCCCACCGTTCGACTTGACATATTGACATCATTCAAGTTATCGCCGCCGATGGCCTATACAAGAGGGATGTTTTCCGTACGTAGTAGAATCCGAAACTTCGCTCGGCCTATTCGCTAACTTGAATCAGGCTTTCCTGACCCTTTCGCTGTTGCGACCATCAATGGGGAGCAAACCAAAACGACGACTGTCAGCAAAAGAACTCTAAACCCATACTGGAACGAGAGCTTTGACTTGTAATGTACCCCGCCGCTTTAGACAAAGAATTTAACCAACTCGAGATTATCAGTCGTACCAACGAAGATGGCATTCTTGCAGTTCAAGTTTTCGACCAAAAGAAGTTTAAGAAGAAGGACCAGGGTTTCCTAGGCGTCATAAACATTCGCGTTGGAGATGTCATCCCTGAGCTGAGCCCAGATGCCGATGGTCAGTTTTACTTGATCCCACAACAGAAAACGAGAATGAGCTTTCTGACATGCGCTTCAGACCAGATGCTTACTCGAGACCTCAAAAAATCAACCGATAACCTCGTCGTCCACGGTAAACTTATTATTAACCTGTCCTGCAATCTCAGTGCACCAGCCCGCGGTGGCCAGGCATCGACCGCACGACCATCTCTCGGCACCGGCCCGTCGAACGCTTCGAACCTCTCCGCCCCTCCGCCGGAAAACCGACCAGGATCTTCACTTTCTGGACCAAATGGCGCGGGCGGCTCGCAAGTTAACCTGGCCCATCGTCCATCCAGCATCAACTCTGTTGGTGGTGCCAGCGCTCCAGGACCGAATGCTTCCGGACAAACTCGACAAAGCAATCAACTCAGCCCATTCGAGGATGCCCAGGGGCGACTACCGGCTGGCTGGGAGCGCCGAGAAGACAATCTCGGCCGTACTTACTACGTTGATCACAACACCCGCACAACGAGCTGGAATCGACCCACTGCTTCTGGCGCCCAGGAACAGCGAAACGACCGAGAAGCAGCTACCCAGGTTGAGCGCCAGAGACATCAGAACCGTACTTTGCCCGAAGAAAGAACCGGCTCCAATTCACCGACGCTGCACGCCCAGCAGCCCCAGCCATCAGCATCACCAGCTACTAATGGCGGCGCAGTGATGCATACTGGAGCGACGAGCCCTGGTACGGGAGAACTCCCACCTGGCTGGGAGCAACGGTGGACCCCAGAAGGTCGACCATACTTTGTTGATCACAATACAAGAACAACGACCTGGGTAGATCCACGTCGCCAACAATATATCCGCATGTATGGCGGTCAGAATAACGCGAACGGCCAGATTCAGCAGCAACCCGTATCACAACTTGGTCCTCTGCCCAGTGGTTGGGAGATGCGCTTGACAAACACTGCTCGAGTATACTTTGTTGATCATAACACCAAGACTACCACTTGGGACGATCCTCGACTACCATCGTCTCTTGACCAAAATGTTCCTCAGTACAAGCGAGACTTCAGACGGAAGCTCATCTACTTCCGCTCACAGCCAGCCATGCGAATTCTCAGTGGACAATGCCACATCAAGGTGCGACGATCTCACATCTTCGAGGACTCCTTTGCCGAGATCACACGCCAGTCAGCAACGGATTTGAAGAAACGACTTATGATCAAGTTCGATGGCGAAGATGGTTTGGATTACGGTGGTCTCTCTCGAGAATTCTTTTTCCTTCTCTCCCACGAAATGTTCAACCCCTTCTATTGCCTATTCGAATACTCCGCCCACGATAATTACACCCTTCAGATTAACCCACATTCCGGCATCAACCCGGAGCATCTCAACTATTTCAAGTTCATCGGCCGTGTTGTCGGCTTGGCTATCTTCCACAGGCGATTTTTGGACGCCTTCTTTATTGGCGCTTTATACAAGATGATGCTTGGCAAGGCGGTAGCTTTGGCCGATATGGAGGGTGTGGACGCCGATTTCCACCGATCATTGCAGTGGATGCTGGACAACGATATATCAGGCGGGATTCTTGAGCAGACTTTCTCGACCGAAGACGAGAGATTTGGAGTGATGACTACCGAGGATCTCATCCCTGATGGCCGCAATATTGATGTCACCAATGAGAACAAGAAGGAATACGTTGATCTCATGGTCAAGTGGCGCATCGAGAAACGTATCGCCGAGCAGTTCCAAGCTTTCAAGGAAGGGTTCCAAGAGCTTATCCCTCAGGACCTTATTAATGTCTTCGATGAGCGCGAGCTGGAGCTTTTGATTGGAGGTATTGCCGAAATTGATGTCGACGACTGGAAGAAGCACACCGATTATCGAGGATATACCGAATCCGACGAGGTCGTGCAGAATTTCTGGGCAACAGTACGCTCATGGGATGGCGAGCAGAAGTCCCGTTTACTCCAATTTACTACAGGTACTTCTCGAATCCCAGTCAATGGCTTCAAGGATCTCCAAGGTAGCGACGGCCCACGACGATTTACAATTGAGAAGGCTGGAGAAATCACAAATCTGCCAAAGGCGCACACATGGTAAGTTGATTATTACGATTGACTCTGAGAACAAATCACTGACTCATCAACAGTTTCAATCGACTTGACTTGCCCCCTTACAAGAGTCTAGAAATGCTTCAACAAAAGCTTACCATCGCGGTTGAGGAAACTATGGGCTTTGGTCAAGAGTAGACGATAACGATATTACTTTCAGCAGGGACATTGAACTGGAAAGGGCCAAACTGCACTCAGTTTTCCTGTTTTGTAGTTTCCGCGAGACAGCGACTTCTTTTGTCTGCCCCCATAGGGAACACCCTTGCTAACATACACGAACTTTTGGGTATTTGCTTCAGTCCCAAGAGTGGACAGACCTGGGTCGTTTGGCGCTGGTGGGATTAATTTGCCTTCAACATGCGATGCGACAACTGCTTCTTCCTGTCAGCCCAGTAAATAGACGATTCAACAGAACTCGAGTGTTGCCGTTATCACAGACGCACCTTGTGATCTGTTTCGTAAGGAAGCATTAGCAGGCATTGTGGAATTACCGGGCATACGCCGGGATAGACGAGTCGTTGGATGTGATGATGCTTGACAGACGAAGAGAAAAAAAAAGAAACTGTACTTTGCTATGTATTACGTGTGACGTCGGTAGTAGCACCGAAGCCAGGATGAAAGGGCTGGAAGTTTTAAGAAGAAGGACATGGTTTATAGCGCTTCATTCAACTATTTATCACATATATCACTTTCACTATCTAGTACCTACTAAGCTACCTTGTTTTCTGAAAGTATTTGTCTTGACTGTCTCATGACCAATGTCGAACGCCTTCGCATGCCGGGCAGAGCCTATCTATGCCAGTAAACATTACGAAAATGAATGCACATATATGACTCAATAGACCAATTTTGGCCTTATTTGATTTCTAATTATTGCAGTGCCCTTGCAAGATCGACCACCCCCCCTATTTGGGCCCCTTGCATCAGCCGAACCTGGCTGCATCTTTGATGAACAAAAGCATTGGAAAGCCGCCCAATGAAACCAAAATACCGGGGGAAAAAAGAAAAACAAAATATATGCGGAACGAACCACCGTTCCGCATTATTATACATGGTTGACACCATCATCTCCTTCCCATCACTTCGCCGGAATTCGGACGGCGTTCCACAGTCTTCCAAACCCTTCTTGCTACGAGCAAAATCTGATGGGGAGTCTTTATCGTGAGTAAGGGTGAAAGCCGCGGTTTCCACCCCGTCCTCCACCACGATAATTAGCTCCAGGTTTACCGGCGTTTTTGGGTCCCGTAGGCGCATTGGCGGGTGGTGCGTGTTGCGGGTCAGAGTTCGCACTGGCGCTGCCAGCACGATTAAAGCCACCTGAGCCTTGGTTGGAGTTTGGCTGAGGAACATCGTCGTACATGCCCTCCCATGAAGTAGGGGCCCCCCCTCCTCCAGCCATACCATAACCTCCATGTCCCCCATGCCCGCCGTAGCCTCCACGGCCTCCACGACGACCTCCTTGAGCTTGTTGGTATTGATTATAGTTGTTGTTGTCGTATCCTCGACCACCGCCGCCGCTGGCAGAGGCAGTGGGACTAGCACTACCGGAAGCGGCATCTTGACCACCTTGCTGGCCCTGCTGTTGCATCATCTGTTGCTGCATTTGTTGCATCTGCTGCATCATCTGTGGGTTCATGTTCTGCATCATGTTCTGAGCATTGGCACCACCGCCTCCTCGACCCATCATCTGTTGTTGCATCTGTTGCATCTGCATCATGTTCTGCCACATGGCTGGGTTCATGGGCATTCCTCGGCTCATGGCCATTTGCGACTGCATCATAGCAAAGTACTGTTGCATACGTTGAAAGTATTGGGCCATGACTTGGGGTGTCATGCCGTTGTTGCCCATCTGTTGGCCCATGGAGCCCTGGTTTGACTGGTCACCGTCCTTTCTGAACTTGCCGCGTCGCGATGCCTCTTCCTCTTCTCGAAGGTTACCCCGAGGCTGGGCCTTCTTGACCTCGATGGGTTTTCCATGAATTTCTAGTGGCACGTTGATACAGGCATCAACGCCAGCCTCATTTTCAAACGTCACAAACCCAAATCCTCGTGGACGACCGGTATCTTTGTCCATCATAAGAGTCGCATCTACAACGCGGCCGAACTGTGCAAAGTATTCCTTGAATTCTTGATCGGTGGTTTCCTGACTGACGCCTCCGACGAAGATCTTACTAGTCTTCTCTTGTTCGTCTCGGGGAATGGCACGTTTCGGATCGATCTGCAACGCAATTAGAGTGGTGAGTTTGGCCATGTTAAGACATATGACTTACGATCTTGCCATCAAGGAAATGCTCCTTGACCATGACGATATTGACTGTCTTGGCGTCCTTAAAAGTCAGAAAACCAAAACCTCGCGACCGGCCGGTACTGCTGTCTCTCATGACTGTGCACTCAACGACTTCACCAAACTGTGAGAAGTAATCCCGCAATGATTCTACCAGAAATCGTTAGTACAAGTTTGGAGAGCTGCGTGTGTTTGTCACTTACGATCGGTGGTTTCCCAGTTGAGACCGCCGATGAACATTTTACTACACAAACATGTCAGTATACTTTCATTTTAGAGTTGTTTATGCACCCTGAATATCAACGCTGTTAAACACGGGTCTCCTAGGCTTGGTGGAACAACAGGACCCAGGTTGATGGCGAAGTGGCTTGCTTAGAAAGGGCTGAGAGTTTGCGAATAATCAATAGTTTGCTGAAAGCTTAACCCTGGCTTAGAGAAAAGAATCGGCAATCGAGACTTGAATGCCTGATACAGCATAAAAACAGATGGCTGCGGTTTGGTGATTGCAATGTGATAAAGGACTTTGTATCCTTGAAAAAAATGGGTCGTGCAGGGCAATATGGTTGCATGCAGAGAAGGGCACAGCCCAACAGGAGGTCGATTGATCTGAAGTTCCCGTTTCTTCGGCTTGCTTGATGTTGGCGGCAATTTCTGTAAGATCCCTGCGTGTGGATGCATCAAGGCCAACATAACAAGGACGATGGCTGACAAACGTTGACCAAACGGCCATGACAGTCGAAAGTATGGCGCAGACATTGCAATGAGAGATGCCAGATCAGCTTGGTCGAATAAAATTTCGTCTTGTGCTATCGTCTTGACTGTTCTCTCTGTCTCTGTCTCATGCTAGGTACTGGCCTCGAGCGCTATTCGCTGCGAATTTCGCTATAGCACTCGAGAGTGTTTACCACTCCCGTCGGTTCAATAAGATCTCTGCGACTGAGGGCTATGGAAGACTCAAGTAGTAGTGTCTTTCGTCTGGACTAGTGCCGAATGATTCATCCTAGGATGTCCGTCCACAGGGCGTATCCCAGTACCGATTGTGACATCCTCCTCTTCCTCTCATAGCCCATAGACAATAGCAGCGGACTCGCCTCAAACTGGTTATATCTCTTGATCCACATATCCTCTTGAATGAGTAATGGTAACTCTTCCAATCTGAATCTTTGCCGTTTGATGTCTCCGATAGCAAAACCTCTTTTTCTTAATTTGACCACGACCCTCTCTAGCCAAGCCAACTTCCGAAATGTATGCAAATGCTAAGCCGATGGCCACTACTACGTGGCAACGTGGCAGTTGCCATGAGGATTCAGGGTTGTAGACACGCAAGGCGAACCGTGATATTCTCGCAAAAACGGATTCAAGAAATGTAATCACAATGCAGAAACAGTGTAGACTTACCCATCTTCTTTGGCACTCGCCTTGTGTACAGTTCCGTATGGAGGTGTCGGAGCATCGTCATGCATATCAGTCTGGCCTGTGTGACCAGATCCGCCGTATCCTCCTCCTCCACCGAGATTGAAGTCGACATCATCATCGTCTTCATCTTGATCTTGAGTCATGTGTTCATCGCCTCCAGTTTCTTGATGTTGTTGCATCCCGTTCTGGTCATCATTGTCGTTGTTGTGAATGTTAGTAGGAGGCTGAACTTCTGGGGCAGGGGGGGCTGCTGCAGGGGGAGCAGACGCTGGCTTTGCGGCGTCGTTGTCATCGTAGCTGTCTAAGAGTCAGTATCCCAGGTAGACGCATATAGTGTTTATGCTCGCGGCTTATATTGCGATGGATACTTACAGGTCGGCGAAGAGATCATCCTCGAAGTTCTCGGGCTCAGTCATGGCGACAGTTGAAGTTTGGCGCGCGTTCCTGATAACAAGTTCGAAAGTTGAGGGAGCGCGAAATAAGTCACCGACGGGTTTCGCGCGCTCGACACTAAAAATCTGTAATGGGTGAACAGGGGCAGGTGAGAGCAGATGCGCAATTGATACTGAGAGCTAAGTCGAACCAAGAGTCAAAGAAACGGACGAGGAGGCGACTGAACCATGAAGGTGAAGAAAGGTGCTAGGCTATCGAGCCGCGGAGCTAAAGCCTAACTGACTGTACTGACTAAGCCAAAAGTGGACCAATGAGAAATCAGCGCCGATAGTTACGAACAAACGAGAACCCAAGTTTTTAATGCTAATATGGATCACTGAGATCTGGAAGATGATATTCAAAATCGAACTCTTGCCTACCATTTGAGAGCATCTTGCCCTTACAATTTCATGCTTCTCCGTTACAACCCCTAAATTCCCCTCTACATACTCTCCAAGCTCCATTGTTAAGAAGCCTACCTTGTTCCTTGGGCATTACATCCATGGAAATGTAGGGTTTGTTAATCTGGCTCGAACCGCATGCGCTCGTTGGTGAATTGCTCTGGGCTGTACGAAGTATTCGTACTCCGTACCCAGGCTAGGTCGTAGGTACCGCCTGTTGGGCGAGGAATCCACCCCGTGGCCGGGCAGCTGAGTTCAGGCCACAGGGTTAAGGCACAGCCCTCAATTAGCGGACACCCCCGCTATCAACCCGTCCGAACCCGCTATTTCCAAGCCATGTAGCGCTGTTTGCGGGGTGATCTCGTGGTTGAGCCAGGGCAGCCTAATTAAGCCCGTTTCCATTATGTTTGATCGATCCATAGTAGAATAGGTTAACCAACCCAACCTACTGACTTTCTTGCACTTCACAACATCATTGCGTCGCGTTACATCGCAGCATGTGAAATACCTTCCAAGGCTCTTGTCCACGGCCTCTTTTCCTCTTCAGCGAACCATGTGGTCGTCATCTGGGAGCGGCAAGAAGCCCGCGCAATCTGTAAGTCGTG